GTTAATTAAATTCATTATTCGTAAAACCTATTAATCGTTAATCTCATTATTCGTTAAATTAATTATTCGTAAAATATATTATTCGTTACTCTTATTATTCGTTAAACTTATTATTCTTTAATCTAATCATTAGTTAAATTTATCGTTTGTTAATCTAATCATTCATTAAACTCGATATTCATAATATTTTGTAAAATCTTGTATATTCGCGTAAATATAATCTCTGTTTCGTAAAACGATGGCTAATTCAAACGAAGAATCGTTACGCGCCTTAAATTCTAATGTTAACCCGACATACATTATAGATGATAGTTAATGGTATAAATATGATTATTATAGAATAAAGTTCACTAGCAATAAACAATTTCACTGCACAATAATAAGTTCTTACAACAGATTTATATTATAATAACAATGACTACTTAGTCACTAAATGAATATAATAATAATTCACAAGGTGATTATATGACTATTACGGAATTTGACAAACAGTCGTGACGATTAGATACTCGAGATGCTAATGACAATAATCTTAGGTTCAATGACGAATACACAGTCAACAAGATAGCAAATGCACTTCCTTACTTGTCGAAAGTCCAGGTCGAACTAAACCCATGTACTTTACTATGTATCTTTCTGCACATACAACTATGTCTTTTAAGGAGAGCTATACAACTACGTCACACCTCTTTTAGGTAAAAATTACGTTTTTAAAGCTACGTTTAGCGACCTTCACCTGTCACTTCGAGCCTAAGCCTCTTGTCACAAATCTCGGGCAAACATAATCGAATTAAATGATAAACAACTACTTCTAAGTTTGATTATTTAAGTAGAGCTATAATAAAAAGTCTGGACTAAAGTATTGGGGATTTTTCCAAAATTTCCAAAAGAAAGGCTCCGATGTTCTTTCATCTCTGACATATATAATATAATTACTATAGTTAATAATTATAATATAATTAATATATATAATAGTGTGTATAATATATACATGTAAATTCTATGAAATTCAAACTACACGCCAATCGACATTTTTACTTTTGTTTGGTTTTACCGGTCGTCATTTGCTGAATAGAATAAATCACGAGAGAAGAACGGTAATTTAGGACTTAGAAAATCGATTCTCCATTTTCCAAGTAAAACTCGTAGTAGATTTGTTATTAACTATTACTGTATTTAATTTAATTATTCCTAAAATAAACTCGATTTTCCAGAATCGATCGTCTGATTTACCCTAAGGATTTACCTTATTACGTATATACAGGGTGGTTGGTAACTGATGGTGGTGGTAAGGGGGTGATTCTACGCGAAAAAAGAAGTCGAAAATATAGAGTAAAAATTTAAAAATTTTTAAATTTAAAAAATTCAAAAGATAACGTCAATCGAGACAACGATCTACAGTGAGATCCGTTATAACGAGACGCGATAAAGTGCACGCGTACCGAGCGAAAATTCAAAGTCGATTTTCTCGAAAACAAAGCCTCAAACGAAAAGTTTTTATTCTATATTTTCGACTTCTTTTTTCGCGTAGAATCGCCCCCTCTCCGCTTGTACCACCAGTTATCAACCACCTGGATATATGTAAATTCTATGGAATTCAAGCTATGGAATTCAATCGACATTTTTACTTTTGTTTGGTTTTACCAGTCGTTAATTGCTGAATAGAATAAATCACGAGAGAAGAACGGTAATTTAGGACTTAGAAAATCGATTCTCCATTTTCCAAGTAAAACTCGTAGTAGATTTGTTATTAACTGTTAGTGTATTTAATTTAATTATTCCTAAAATAAACTCGATTTTCCAGAATCGATCGTCTGATTTACCCTAAGGATTTACCTTATTACATATATAACATAATATCTCATTAGCATGATCACGCGTTTCCCTTCAGACTCTCCATATAAATTTTATTACGCGTGGCTTATACCTCGTCCGCGATTCCATTCACTACCATGATCGAGCCAGAGACTGGCAAACGAACAAAAATATAACTTGACGCACTAATCTTCAAAAATATCTCGGTATCTACAAAATTAATTTCTCCGGTTGTACAGCCGGCGTGAAACGAAACCATAGCCGAGAAACAATTCGCCGAGATTCCCCCCATGAACGCATTAGCTGTGTCGTTTCCCGTGAATATTGCAAGCATCGAATTGACGTTGGCGAAATCACGTTTTAACGCAGCATGCGCTCGTCCTGTGCGTTCTGAATTTAATACGAGGGTCGTTCTAAGTATGGTAGCTTCCTCTCTTCGAAGCAGACAGGATTGGAAATTCCAAGCGGCCGGAGGAAGACGAAGCAAGTGCCAGGAGACTTCCGTTTGCCAACCGCGAACCCGTTAGCTCGGCTACTCCTTCGAGAATAGAATCCAATTTAAACATGGCACGATTCCCAAGTCATGACACCGACTCGGCCTAACTGGCGCATACTCGCCAGCTCTACTTCTGCGCCCGAAATGTAACAGCAAGATATACGCCACGAAATTCGGGCTTGTAAGTGTCAAGGGCTGGCACGTGAACGAAAAGCAAATATTACCGCCAGTGACCTCGTTTCACGCAAACGTCCTTCTCTTTTACTTTACAAATACGTCTTACAACTGTTACTCGTCCTCTACACGAGTTTCACGAGGATAACAAAATTGACGATCTTTCGTGTTGAACAAATATCGCCAATGATGCGCTTCCTATCACAGACGTTTGAGAGCTACGTCACGGAAATCCTATGCTCGTGACGCGAATATTTTTGCATGCAACGTAATGATACGATATTCTTATCTAATGCAAAAATTGTAAAAATTTTCACGCCGTGAACTTGGAAGTTCCGCGACGTGCGTTTACAAGCATTCTGATGCAGGAGATCGCATTGTTAATGTTCGTTGAGGTTCTAAAATGGTGAAAAGGAAGCAACGATTGGGATAATTCTTTTTATACAAATTCATCATAATCCTGTTGCTTTGAATTGTTTTAGAACTCAGCTGGTTTTATTATACGTGTTAGTTTATTAAACAGACGAGTGATAAAATTGTAACAGTCGGTGTATGTTAAAATCACTTCAATTCATCATAATCCTGTTGCTTTGAATTGTTTTACGACTCAGCTGGTTTTATTATACGTGTTAGTTTATTAAACAGACGAGTGATAAAATTGTAATAGTCGGTGTATGTTAAAATCACTTTAAATACAAGTACAAAGATACCGTATGCAGGTCGTTATAGTTGCTCGCTCAATGTTACTGTTCAACTCTATGCTCGCTATTCGACTGTACGACTCGCTATAATGATTCGCTATAATGATTCGCTATAATGATTCGCTATAATGATTCGCTATATTGCTCCGCTATACTTTGATTGTCCTAGAGAGCACGTTCGTCTATTTGTAGCAACTCCGGTTGACGATTACAAATAACAGCGTTAATATTTTGTTTGGAGTTCGTTTACCTTTCAAGAAAAAGTAATGTTGACACTCCAAAGCACAACAATATGAGTCACTCCCGATTCGAATCTTCCGTTGACTCGTGTGCCGCTACAGGGCCAGTCGTGTTTTCTTAAATAAATTTCCTGTATCGTATGAAGTGTTCCATTACGATGATACATAGGAAAATATAAAAATATAATTGAGGATCGATATTCTATTCATCTACCTCGTTTTCTGGCTGACTTTGACTAATTTGTCACGACAAAATGATATAAAGGGTAGAAGACCCGGACCATCCAAGAACTTGAAAAATGTGACGTAAAAGAGAATAATTTGCGTCGGGAAAAATGTTAACAATTTTTCGAGAAAGAAATTAAAAAATCAGCGAGTACATAAAATGTTCTTAAAAAATGAAGGATAATAAATTATTAATTATTACGTGACATAGGAGCCATTTGTTCACTCTAAAATATACATTTAAATATTGTAAAACTTCAAAGCAAAAGTATGTATTTCGCGAAGATAAAAATGAAACATGTAATTAATCCTTGGAAGATAGGAACGACATATGTAATTAATTCCTAAAAGATAAGAATGACATATGTAATTAATTCTTGGAAGATAAAATTGCTTTTGAGATTTATTGATCGCCTGCATTGTTAGACTTTATTTCTCCATGGCATACTAAAATGCTAAATTGGCCATTTTCAGTATAATTGAGTCTAATTTGGTAAATAGAAATACGTTTTATAATGTTTTATGGTATCGTTGTTACAAGTATGGTTTTAAGTGGTTCCATATTTTCTACCCTAACATTTATTTCCACTTATGAGCTGCTCAATTCTATACACACTGTACACGGCCAACATACCAACAACTACCAATAGCAAAATACTGACATTTGCGGACGACATAGCTGTACCAGTCAGGCACACTAACCCTGCAACAGCAGTCACATTACTACAAGAAGATATCATAAAAATAGAAAAGTGGCTTCAAGTTAAACAAATCAAAGCAAACCTCGATAAATGCAACCACATTAAATTCACACTGTGAAAACAGATACCACCAAACATTATACTGAACGGCGCGCACATAATACAAACAAGGCAAGTCAAATACCTAGGACTCCACTTAGATACACGATTCACATGGAAACAGCATATTAAATCTATAATAGACAAAATACAGACAACAAGGAGACAAATGTATTGGTTAACAAGTCGAAAATCCAAACTAAGCATAGAAAACAAACTAAAAATATATAAAGCGATCATAAAACCAATTTGGACGTACGGAATACCACTTTGGGGAACAGCAGAAAATGAGCCATATAAGCAAAATAGAGACAATCCAAGCTAAAATTCTTAGATCAATTGTAAACGCCCCATGGTACGTTAGAAACGAGGACATACGGAAAGACCTTGGAATACCAACGGTCAAGGAAGAGATTAGCAGATTCGCAAGAAGGTACAGAGAAAGAATAGCAACGATAGGAAACGATCAACACAAGTATAGAAAGAAGACTAAAAAGGAAGCCACCCACATGATAATCAACTAATAAATGATAATCAAACTAAAAAATTCTATCAAATGTCCAAATTGGACAAATTGTAAATGTGAAATATTAAATAAAAAAAAAAACTTATGAGCTGCTGGATAATAGCTACGTTTTTCACCCTGACGTTAATATGTGTAATAAGTATACCATCCTGTAACAAAGAGATATAGAAACATATTCAATACGTATCAGAAGTAATATTTATTTATTTCATTCACATATATTGTAATTTTAAGTAGGAGCAATGAGCACTTATTAATAAAACAAAATATAATACCAAAAAGGAATTGCGATAAAACAGATCAAAACGATGAAACAAATAAATGGAATTAAATGGTAGTGCAAGCATAATTAAACTTAACTTCTTTGTTCCATTTTGGTGAACTGAAAAAGTTGCATAGCACAAAATATGGTAATAAGTATAATCATTAAACAACACAAGAGAATCATATGAGAAACCTTATTTTTCATTTTACATTGACACGTGTATAACAAACAAATCATACCATGTACACAGATAACAGGTAATCTCCATTTTCGATCATTTCATATTAAAATTCACTTATTTAATCGTAAAATATAATGAAAATGAAAAAAACCAATGAAAATGTACTTGTCGGAATTTTCTCCTCTGATCTCCGATTGCTGTCACAAGCTGACAACAGACAATCTCTTTGATTTAAAGAGGCGAGAATATAATATCTCAAGATTCTATAAAAATAGATACAATTTCAAGCGTTCAATATTCAATAAAAAGCAATTCAAATAAAAGTCAATTTCTAATTGAGCGAAATCGTTAGCGTAAAATTCAATTGGCTGGATAAAATATGTTTTATGAATATTTCACGACACAATGGAAGACGAATGTAACAAAGAAGAATTTCAACGAATGGTTTGCTCGAGAGAACGGGAAACTTTTTGCCATTTAATGGCCATAGACACGTAATATAACGATAAAACTTTATTTCGCGATCATCGACAATTACACGAATTTTCCTTAAGGACAGGAAACTCGGCGAATTCTAAATTGCACGTCGAACGTTGCCGCGAATTCTAGCGCAGTTAATGACGATGACTTTCTGATCGTTGAAAAGACACAAAGACGTACGCTCGTTGAGGTTGAAGAGGTGCACGGGCCAACGTACCTCTAAAAACGACACGGAGGGAAGTTCTATTCATCGAGAAATTGGAGAGCAGTCTAGTAGCGAAGGCTTAACGAATTCCAGCTTTCTATAAATATTTAGCTTCAGATGTTGCTTTGGTTTTAGTTTGACCGTTTCACGATGCTCGCTCACTGCTACGATCTTTAGGACGAGAGGATTTATTCGAAATTCTTCGCGTTCAAGATGATTACACTCCTTCTCGTTATATATAATTTGAAGAGAAACGATGAGTCAAATTAGAAATGAAACAGAATTCTTAATTAACTCTGGTTCTGACGTTGTTGAAAAATATTTCGAGAAGAATTACATTACAATTACAGAGGACACACGAGGCGCGAATCGAGACGTAAATGAAATCGTGCAAATATACGATGCATCAAATATAACTTTTGCTTCTAATATAATTTTCATAAATATTTGACAAATAATATTTCTACGTGAAATATTCTTCTATCGTTATTTTTAAATAGATTTTAATATACTATGATAAATTACTATTTAATCTGTTTATAATTTATTTAATTTATTCAATTTATTTACGAAAAACTATGCAAGTTCATATTTTTATGAGGAAGAAGGAAATGAAACCTAAGCAGAAGTTAAGTTAAATATTCTGGATATTTTTACATTTCCAAGTTTGCTATTACTACACGAAAATCTACTAATAACCATCGCTAATATCGCAACTAATATGCCACTTAATGAACGTAAATTGATGAATAATATTGAACACGATGTACGTAAATCTTTGAACGCAACAGTTTTGTTACAAGTCGAGTCCGCGTGTCAGAATCACAAGAAGTTTGCCGATTTAATTAAGAAAATAGCGTGCCTGGCGTTTTAAATCGAACAGTCGAACGAAAAACTAATAAGAAGGTGATACGTAGGAATTTGCATAAAACTCGACGGAAGCGACATCATGGAATAATAATCGAATTTAATTTCCACGTAACGCAGAAACGCGAGGAAAATGATTGGAAGGAAGTGGAAGCTAGCCAGTGGAAAATAACATCGTTCCGCATAAAATCCGTGATTACTCTGATGCGCTTTCGCTCTATCGTAAAATTGAACGAGAGAATATCGCGCTTTCTTTCTTTCGTCAATTCAGTCGCGTCACAGCATCGTTTAATTGCATCTAGTTCCCCTTCATTTGGATATTACTCTTCCTACAGTAAAATAAAATGCGTTTCTCGTTTTTTCAATTTACCTACTGACAGTTATTAATTATTAGCAATTACAGTTGTATACAATTGTATTTCATCTCGTTGGCCTACGACATAGACAATATTATGTTGGACTAGCACGCTACATATTTACCTTTGCTATCATAAATATGTACAACGTTTAGCAATGTGTAAGTTATTAAACGACTACAGTTGTATGCAATTGTATTTCATCTCGTTGGCTTACGATATAGACAATATTATGTTAGACTAGCACGCTGCATATTTACCTTTGCTATCATAAATGTGTACAACTTTTAGCAATGTGTGAGTTATTAAACGACTACAGTTGTATGCAATTGTATTTCATCTCGTTGGCTTACGATATAGACAATATTATATTGGACTAGTGTTTACTGTTTACTTTTGCTCATACATATGTACGAAGCTTACGTTGTATTAGTAGAAGTGTTGGTATACCTATAACTAGACTGCGGGTGTTTATGAAAACTCAGTTTTGATATAAATACGAATAAAAAAATGGAACTTAATACTTTGACTGCCACGTTGGTCATATATAACCGGGGCCACGGTTTTTCCTGTGACGCCACGGTGGACATTGATGACCGCTTGAACTTCTTACGATTATAAAAATTGTATGAAAATTGACAGTTAGGTCATTTTTAATATAACCGATAAGTAGAAGACACTTTGAAATAGAAAGTGAACAATTGAACAATTAAACATTTTTATATATATATTATAAACATATTAGAACATCAAAAAAAGAGTGAGAACAAATCTTGCATCTAACGGTGCACTGTGTTTACATGCATACCTTTGAGGGGTAATCTACGAATATTATTATAAACACACCTTAGAAAATAATCGTAAATGCTATTTTATAGTCATATAATTGAGGTAGAAGTGTGCACATACCTTACTATTATATGTAGAATGAGCGAATACTGTTTACTAATATCTTCCACACGTTTCAACGATATATTCCCGTAAATGCTATTTTATAGTCATATAATTGAGGTAGAAGTGTGCACATACCTTACTATTATATGTAGAATGAGCGAATACTGTTTACTAATATCTTCCACACGTTTCAACGATATATTCCGGACGTTTTGCTTGCGACGAAATAACGAATGCGAATGGCTTGTTGAAATAAACTGTTGTTATTTCTGTATTCAGAGGTAGGATCATATTAACTGTTATTTTATTCTTTGGA